GTCAATTGCGCAGTCACACTGTGCACAAATTAAATTGATGTCATTTTTTAATTACACAAATAGAGCTTCCTTTTGGTGGTATTTGATCACCACTGTGTTTTTTATGCTATAAATGTAAAAAGGCCACAAATTCAGAAAAAAATAATATATTTTTACTTTAAAACATATCCAATAAAAAAATAAAAAATATAAAATTTCTTCATACATTTAGGCAAAAATGTATTCTGCTACATGTCTTTGGCAAAACAAAAAATCCCATCAAGTGAATATTAATTGGTTTGATGGAAAATGATAGCACCTACAAACAATGGTATAGATACTGGATTTTTTTTATACCAGGAATGACGGTGATCAGCGACTTACAGCTGGACTGTGATAGTGTGGTGGCAATCTGACACTGGGTGGGAACTAACTGCCACTGACATCTCCAGTGACACTAATACAGTGATCAGTGGTAATAAGAAGTACGGTCACTGTACTAATGACGCTGATCAGAAAGCGGTTAACATCTGGGGAGAACAAAGGAATAACGGTGTGCAGGTTTACTAGAAGTACTGTGTGCGGTTTTACTAGGGGATGTGCTAGTTTTTATGTGCTAGTTTCTTACTTCGTTTTGGATATTTTGAACTCTTTCAGGTTTTTACTGCTGTGTCCCCTGATGGCAGGTTGCCCTTTTCTTACCCTTACACATCAAGTGGCACCAGGACAAGAAGTGAGAGAAAATCTTTTCAATAAGGACACAGGCAGCAATGTGAATCTTATAAAGGATCTAACCTTATGTATTGAACAGCTTTTCTACTACTTCTAGTTCCACTAACAGGATGACAGGGAGTGATGAAGCTTCCCTCAATAGAGACCACAACAGCCCAACTGCAATAACAATCTAACAGATTTTTATTTTTTTTTAATATGAATTTGGGTTTTACTGCAGAAATATTAACACTCACATGTCACAAATCTACAGAGCATCAATACCACACCACACTATTTTTGTGATTTTAAAAAATACCCTTTTTTGTTAAAAAAAAAAAATAAATCCTATTTTATGTGTCTAATACCTGACTACAAGGTAAATGGTGGATTTCTACCGTCATTGGAGACTGCAAAGCATCTATTGTTTTCAATCACACAGACCAGAAACAGACTTTCATAGGAACATATAGGAAGAAACATGGCTGCTTTCATCTAATTTTAAAATTCAAAAGTAGCAATATATTAACATACACAGAGATTTGTATCATATCTATTAGTTGCTGAAAGCTAAAAGATATACAATATAGTTAAAGAGTGTATATTTAAACCAGTTCCACATGACTGTGCGCTGTATCCCTGATTGCGTCGTGCTGATGAAACATGAAGGGCAGAATAACAGCGATCTAGGAGGCTGACTGTGAGGGCTGTCTTTATCCGATCCATCCCTGTGTGGTTTTTCTTGTGGGAGAGCGATCCCGGGCATGCAGTGCTGTATTGGTACACAGTGTTTTTTCATGCTTTCACCTACCTATTCAATGTGAATGCATACCTGCTTTTTAATAAACTTGTTTTAGAAGTGGGCATTATGAAATTTTTTTCCTTTCAGACTCTGGTACACACAGTGCTGCAGAGATGAGAAGTTTATTTTCAGTGTTTGATTAACCCATGCGGCACTAAGTGTTTTTGGGAAGTGGTGGGAGAGAGCTTCCATTACCTTTGGGAGTATCCAAGAAGGAGCTTGTCTGGATAATCTGTTCATGCATGTTTGACCTTTTATAACTGAGGTGAACCCATAAGGTTAGAGCACACCCTAGGATAATTACTGGTGGAGATGTCACCAGAGTAGATTGGTTTCATTATTAATACAGCATATTTTCATTAAAGTTTGTGGACTTTATCACATATACACCATTTTATTTATTTTTTGTTTGGACTTTATCACTGATCATTTTGGACATTATTAATGGTCTATGGCTACATAGTTATGACTGCACTTGTTAATCCCAGGCTATTCAACTCTTTTGTTTGGACTTTATCACAGGTTATTTTAAATATTAATGATATATTGTTGCTATTGTACTTGTTTATCACAGTTTTTGATTCATTTTCAGTTGGTGTACACTGCACATTTTGAAAATATTTTTCTTTTATTATTCTTATACAGCACAGCACTTTTTATATATTGATAGTTTTATTGATTACACCTTTAATGCATGTCGCTCAACTTTGAAGCTGTTTCCATAGAAGTTTTGGTAATTTTATATTTTCAAAGATAGATTTATTACTGAAGATAAGACATATTTATTCTCTTAAGCCGCAGGCTGTCCAACCCGAGGCCCAAGACGACTATGAATGCAGCCCAACTCAAAATTGTAAGCTTACTTTAAAACGTGATTTTTTTTTCATTTTAAATCATTTGTAAAAATGTGTTTACACTTGGCAAACACACAACTGAAAAATTTTTTTGACTTGACTAGACTTTTATAAGTTTTATCTTCCCAAAGAAAAATATCCCACTCTTCACAATCATGCCTTATTCAAGTCATTAGTTTTCGACAGCAGCTATATTTGTGAACAACTATTTTCAATGATGACGCACGCAAAGGGCAAAATTAGAACCAAAATATCTGACAGAATTCATAGAGAATTGCTACTACATCCATCTAACCAAATATTGATGTGTTAGTTTATCAAGAATAGTGTCCAATATTGCACTTGTTTTATGTTCCCTCCTTTGCATTTAGAATTAAAAAAAAAAAACAAAAGAGAGGTACATTATCTATATTAGCAATCATAACTTTGTGATCTGACTTTTTCTGCTCATCAGCTATGCTTATTGTTAGCTTATTTTACATGTGGCCCAAGACAATTCCTATCCTTCCAATGTGACCCAGGAAAGTCAAAAGGTTGGATACCCCTGCTCCAAACAGATGCAAAATTAAGAAGTGCTCAGGGTTAGGTTCACCTCAGTCACCAGTGTGGATTTTAGAGCAGTCCAAAAAATAAATACATTTTTGACTGTAACCTTGTAGTAATTCTGAATTACAATGCATCCAACTGCTCCCGTTTAGCATTGCTTTGTCTTGGTAAAGGATTGAAAAATGTCTTCCATTGTACTCACAAACTCTTTATTGTTGTATGGTATGACTGCTACATTTTGGGGGTACTGACCTGCAATTTCCCATCAACATCACATTGCAAGGCATGTCAAAATGCAAAGCAACATACATTAACCACTTGCCCTCCTGAGGATTTACCCCCCTTCATGACCAGGCCATTTTTTACTTTACAGCACTGCGTTACTTTAACTGACAATTGCGTGGTCATGCAATACTGCACCCAAATGAAATTTACGTTCTTTTTTCTCACAAATTGAGCTTTCTTTCTGTGGTATTTGATCGCCTGTGCATTTTGTACGCTATAAGCAAAAAAAAGAACGATAATTTTGAGAACAAAAACTATATTTTGGACTTTTTCTATTAAACACGTCCAGTAAAAAAGTAAAAAAAAAAAAAAATCAAATTTCATCATAAATTTAGGCCAAAGTGTATTCTGCTACATGTGTTTGCTAAAAAATCCCAATACGTGTAAATTAATTGGTTTACATGAAAGTTATAGTGTTTACAAATGGCGGTATAGATAATGGGATTTAAAAAAAAAAAAAAATTCTACTAGTAATGGCGGTGATCAGCGACTTTTAGCGGGACTGCGATGGACATTCTAATACGGAAGGGAACTAACTAGGTGTCACTGACACCCCAGTGACCCCTATACTGTGATCAGTGCTAAAAAAAAAAAAAAAGCACTGACACTCTACTAATGGCATTGGGCAGGAAGTGGTGCTCAAAAGGGTTAACTGTGTGCTGGGAATGTTTTACTAGGGGGCGGGGGGTGTGTTCTTCACTGGAAGCACACTGATCAGGATGGTTGTACTGTGCACAGCCATCCCGAGCAGTGTGCTCGAGGTGACAGGGAGGGAGATTGTTTGTAAACAAAACAGTCTTCCTCCCTGTCGGAGATGCTCGGTAATCACTGGGCGCTGGCGGGTAATTACCAGCCGGGACCCGGTGATTGACATCCGCGGCCGCGAATGGCGTCGCGGGTAGGATGCTCGTGCACGCATCCTACCCCGAAATGCGGAATGACGTATATATACATGATCCTGCGCACAGGTGCCGCCCTGTAGCAGCTTATCTGCTATAGGGTGGTCCTAAAGTGGTTAAAGTTTTAAAGGAGCATGCTCTATGGTGGTCATTTGACATAACAAGTATATATATTTTACTTGCGCCAGGTAACTTTCTAAGTTATGAAGAAAGGACAAACATCAAAAGCCTCGGAACAAGAACCTTTACACAAGATGGCAATGGCAGCTCCTATATTACAATCTTGAGTGGTTACTTTAAAGTATAACTTTAATTAAAAAATTTGATCCTGCTAGATTACTTTAGGCTGGCTCGTTTTGCAGGCATAGCTATGTAAAACATTACAAATAAGTGCCTATGCTGTTTTAAATCCACAAATACACTGGGGGTTATTTACTAAAACTGGAGAGTGCAAAATCTAGTGCAGCTCTGCATTGAAACCAGTCAGCTTCCAGGTTTTATTTCCAAAGCTTAATTGAACAAGCTGAGGTTAGAAGCTGATTGACTATCATGCAAAGCTGCACCATATTCTGAGTGCTTCAGTTTTAGTAAATCTACCCCACTATCTCACCCTGTTCTGCAAATGCTTTGTTGCTCTCCATTTTTAGGCACTGGATTTGTAGAGGCCGATCTGCTCACAGCCTAAAAATGTAATGCTGCTCAGGACTCTGGGCTTCAGCAAAATGGCAGCCTCCAGCAAGAAGAAACAAGAACAATGCTGGAGGCAATTTACAGCACACTATTCTGTGTTACAGTTGTTATGGGTAAAGTTCCATTTTAAGACAACATGCATGAAGATATTCATTTTTAAGTGCACTTGGGAAGAACAATAAGTTATAAGTTAAGTAAGAAGCCTATAGACAGTCATTAGTCATTGTTACTCACCGTTCTGCAGGACTGTCTACATCAATATAAGAAATTAAGGGTGGGGATGATAACGTCTCTGTGGCAAACACACTGCCTTGAAGTTGGATTCCAAATCCCACAATGGGGTCTGCAGTTAGTGCAACCTCTGTACTTTCGGTGTGGACAACTTGTCCTGATAAACCAACTGTGCTAGATGCCAAGGATACTGTAAGAACAAACCATAGACAACACTTAGAATGCCACAGGCTTCAATTACAATTAGGTTGAAAAGAAAAAAAGGATAGGTTTTTTTTTTTTGCTTAATTTATGTGGAAAGATATGGAAAAAAACTGCTTGTGCGCCCAGGGCATCACTGATTGCAAGACTTCTACTATCTACAGCACCCATCCGAACAGCGCATGAGTAGTTCATTACAATGTGCTAAAGGATAAGAACACACACACTACTTGAGTGCATACTTAGGTTGTGGCATCTACATAATGTATATTGTAACAAAGTACAGAATGCCATAATATCTAATTATTTTGTTTGCGTCCTTAAATTCTGTGATATAGGAGTAATGGTTCATATACACGTACCTATAATAATAATAATTACACTTGTGGTTTCGTGGGTTGGTAAAAAACATGTATATTGAGCGGTTTTGATATCATCCCCCCCAAGGCTGCAAAGGCAGCTAGAAAGGGGTTTACACATTCTGGGGCCTGCAGCAAACATTATCCTTCAAGTTGTGTTTGGCAGGCAGTACAGCAGCTGAAGGCCACCCATTCAAGCGTATGCAATGAACAAAGTTGCGGCACAGTAGGTCAACATTTGTAGGGTTAAAACAGGTGGTGTGGAAGTAACATACTGCTTCCCCACTTCATGTCAAACACCTCTGAAAAGCAGTACACAGCAGATTGATTTTCAGTGGAGCGGCAAGCTCTGTGGCTAGTGTAAACCCGTTCTTAGTGTGTGTGCATGTGGAAATTCTGAAAGAACCCTCTGCACACTGCTATATACCCTCGCCAGCCAATTTTGCAATAAAAAAATTGTGATTTTTAGTTCATACATATTGCAATACATGTTTAAACTGGCCAACTGCGCCAATTATTGTGTGTACGTATACACATTTTATTTTATTTTTACACATTGTGTTATAGCTGTATATGGTCACCTTCTGTGACAAACACATAGTACTCAAAGTAAAGCATTTTATATATTTAAGAAACAGCTTCTAGTGGTGTTCTTTGGACTTTTCAGCATCAAACATTTGTATCCCAGATTTGCAAGGCTACCACCTGGATGTCTGTTCACATATCCTCTAGGTTTAGCCAGGTGGATAATCAGGTGTTGGTCGATGCAAGCTTTAGTTGCAAAGTACTTCAAGCTGTAATCTGAGTGTTTTCAGGTTCCTAGCACTTTTTTTTGTGGGCCTGTTGGTAGTTCTGTTTACAGTTACTGCGATGTATGATTAACAGAATAAAAAGTTTTACTTACCTGTGAATTCTTATTTTGATTACAGTACAGGGAACAGACCACTACCCTCTTCTCTTCTGTGATCTCTCTTTATTGCATGCATAAAAACTGGAGTCTCACAGATTAGGTGTGGTTATATGATTGTGCAATAGAGGTGGCCCTAGCAAGTTTTTTCCCAGGGTCCAATTACCTGAAGCTAGCCTGCATATAACCCATGGTCTATAAATACAAGTTCTGTTGTCCTGTATCGTACTTTAGTCCCTGGTCTCTTTTTTATATGTTGTTTCTATAACAAATGGTTATTTTCAGCAGTCAAATTTCATGTTTTTCTGATATCAACAAACTGACATATGTATCTCAGAATCTGAAAGTTTGAGGTTAATTGACTGAAATTTTCAAGCCAATGTACGACCCAAAAGAAAATGGGCAAACATGAAAAAGTATTACAGTTTGCTTTACTAAGCAATTATACGCGTTGGATAAATATTTAGGAAAGTGGGTAACACTACAACAAAAATGCTCAAAACAGTTTGTCAGGTAAAGTTTAAATAATAATAGTATGCCTCTTTATACAGCAAATAATAAAAAATTATACAGCAAATAATAAAAAATATTAAAACATGTCATCATTTTTCTCAGTAAAAATATTGCTAAAAGTGCTATTGACATTAAATTTTTCCCACGTTGGTAACAACCCATGCAATTCATACATACAAAGAAACCAAAACAAATAAGTAAAAAAAATAAGTTATGTGTAATAAAATAGAATGACACAGGGAAAGTATTGAACACGTTAACTGAAATTTATTTAATACTTTGTACAAAAACCTTTATTGGTAATGACAGCTTCAAGATGCCTCCTGTATGGAAAAACTAGTCACACGCATTTCTCAGGTGTGATTTTGGCCCATTCTTCCACACGGTCTTCAAATCGTGAAGATTCCGTGGGCCTCTTCTATGAACTCTGATCCTGGATTCAAGCCAGGTGATTGGCTGGGCCATTCTAGCCACTCTACTTTTTTTCTTTTAAACCAACTGAGAGTTTCCTTGGCTTTGTGTTTTGAACCACTGTTTTGCTGAAATGTCCACCCTCGTTTCATCTTACAAAGGGGGGAGTCCTCCTTTTGATGGGACTTTAACAGCACAATTCTCTTATAGTCAGGTCCATAAATATTGGGACATCAACACGATTCTAACATTTGTGGCTCTATACACCACCACAATGGATTTGAAATGAAAGGAACAAGATGTGCTTTAACTGCAGACTGTCAGCTTTAAATTTGAGGGTATTTACATCCAAATCAGGTGAACGGTGTAGGAATTACAACAGTTTGCATATGTGCCTCCCACTTGTTAAGGGACCAAAAGTAATGGGACAGAATAATAATCATAAATCAAACTTTCACCTTTTTAATACTTGGTTGCAAATCCTTTGCAGTCAATTACAGCCTGAAGTCTGGAACGCATAGACATCACCAGACGCTGGGTTTCATCCCTGGCGATGCTCTGCCAGGCCTCTACTGCAACTCTCTTCAGTTCCTGCTTGTTCTTGAGGCATTTTCCCTTCAATTTTGTCTTCAGCAAGTGAAATGCATGCTCAATCGGATTCAGGTCAGGTGATTGACTTGGCCATTGCATAACATTCCACTTCTTTCCCTTAAAAAACTCTTTGGTTGCTTTTGCAGTATGCTTTGGGTCATTGTCTATCTGCACTGTGAAGCGGCGTCCAATGAGTTCTGAAGCATTTGGCTGAATATGAGCAGATAATATTGCCCGAAACACTTCAGAATTCATCCTGCTGCTTTGGTCAGCAGTCACATTATCAATACATACAAGAGAACCAGCTCCATTGGCAGCCATACATGCCCACGCCATGACACTACCACCACGTTTCACTGATGAGGTGGTATGCTTAGGATCATGAGCAGTTCCTTTCCTTCTCCATACTCTTCTCTTCCCATCACTCTGGTACAAGTTGATCTTGGTCTCATCTGTCCATAGGATGTTATTCCAGAACTGTGAAGGCTTTTTTAGATGTCGTTTGGCAAACTCTAATCTGGCCTTCCTGTTTTTGAGGCTCCCCAATGGTTTACATCTTGTGGTGAACCCTCTGTATTTACTCTGGTGAAGTCTTCTCTTGATTGTTGACTTTGACACACATACACCTACCTCCTGGAGAGTGTTCTTGATCTGGCCAACTGTTGTGAAGGGTGTTTTCTTCACCAGGGAAAGAATTCTTCGGTTATCCACCACAGTTGATTTCTGTGGTCTTCCGGGTCTTTTGGTGTTGCTGAGCTCACCGGTGCGTTCCTTCATTTTAAAAATGTTCCAAACAGTTGTTTGGCCACGCCTAATGTTTTTGCTCTCTCTCCGATGGGTTTGTTTTGTTTTTTCAGCCTAATGATGGCTTGCTTCATCGATAGTGACAGCTCTTTGGATCTCATCTTGAGAGTTGACAGCAACAGATTCCAAATGCAAATAGCACACTTGAAATTAACTCTGGACCTTTTATCTGTTCATTGTAATTGGGATAATGAGGGAATAACACACACCTGGCCATGGAACAGCTGAGAAGCCAATTGTCCCATTACGTTTGGTCCCTTAACAAGTGGGAGGCACATATGCAAACTGTTGTAATTCCTACACCGTTCAATTGATTTGGATGTAAATACCCTCAAATTAAAGCTGACAGTGTGCAGTTAAAGCACATCTTGTTCGTTTCATTTCAAATCCATTGTGGTGGTGTATAGAGCCAAAAATGTTAGAATTGTGTCGATGTCCCAATATTTATGGACCTGACTGTATGTTACTCTCTGTATGAGGTTTTCACAGTCTTTAAAAGCTAAAGCGATAAGTTGCAGATGTGTAATAATTTAAGGGTATACCAGCAGTTCAGTACGGCAAACACTTTAGTACTAAGTCTACTAGATACACTATATTGCCAAAAGTATTGGGACGCCTGCCTCTACACGCACATGAAATTTAATGGCGTCTTGGTCCGTAGAGTTCAATATTGAGTTGGCCCACCCTTTGCAGCTAAAACAGCTTTAACTCCTCTGGGAAGGCTGTCCACAAGGTTTAGGAGTGTGTCTATGGGAATGTATGACCATTCTTCCAGAAGCACATTTTTGTGAGGTCAGGCACTGATGTTGGACGAGAAGGCCTGGCTTGCAGTCTCCACTCTATTTCATCCCAGAGGTGTTCTATTGGGTTGAGGTCAGGACTCTGTGCAGGCCAGTAAAGTTCCTCCACCCCAAACTCGCTCATCTATATCTTTATGGACCTTGCTTTATGCACTGGTGCGCAGTCATGTTGGAACAGGAAGGGGCCATCCCCAAACTGTTCCTACAAAGTTGGGAGCATGAAATTGTCCAAAATGTCTTGGTATGCGGACGCCTTAAGAGTTCCCTTCACTGGAACTAAGGGGCCAAGCCCAACCCCTGAAAAGCAACCTCACACCATAACCCCCCCCCCGTCTACCAAACTTTACACTTGGCACAATGCAGTCAGGCAAATACGGTTCTCCTGGCAACTGCAAAATCCAGACACATCTATCAAATTGCCGGACAGAGAAGCGAGATTGGTCACTCGAGAGAACACGTCTCCACTGCTCTACAGTCCAGTGATGGCGTGCTTTACACTACTGCATCCAATGCTTTGCATTGCACTTTGTGATGTAAGGCTTGGATGCAGCTGCTCGGCCATGGAACCCCATTCCATGAAGCTTACTGACTGTTGTGCTAACCT